AAAAATAAGCTTCGAGTTAGCACATTACTTTCATATTTTAGCATACATATTATACGTATGCAAATGCAACTAAAATATAAATATAATAGTAACGAAGGATATATAGGGGGGTGTGGGGGGGCGAAGCCCCCACGTTTACATATCAAACACATTTAAGCGTATACTCACTAAAAAAATTACGACTACATCACTGGTGGTGACAACGCACTAGACGATATCATCATACCTCGAATTCCGGTCACTTCGGGCAGTGAGGATGATCTGCCTTTTGAAATGAAGCGGCTCCAATTTCCAGTACGGTTGTCATTCGCAAGGACCATCAATAAATCTCAGGGTCAGACGTTTGACAGGGTTAGTTTATATCTGCCCTCTCCCGTGTTCACTCACGGGCAGTTGTATGTTGCGTTTTCGAGAGCAAGAAATGCTCAATCTGTCAGAGTCGGCATGTATGCTGACGGCAACGGTCGTTTTGTCACAAAGAACGTTGTGTACAGAGAAGTATTACCCAACAGGTAGTAGTCTTGGGGAATTGTCAACAAAGTAAATATGTCAACCTTCCAATAATTTTTTTTTTTTTATATATATATTCACAGTAGCTTTTTTCAATTGAATGATATATTTTCTTTGAGACTTACTAACCCGAGACTACAGAAATACTTACAACATTTTTATGTTGTACCGTCATGGATCCATGTGATCCACCGGGCGTTATTTTCCATTGAGGTTCCCTAATCCTTAGGGATCAGTATATTTGGGAACTTCATGGACTGTTGAGTAATCGACTGTCCACTGCGGAGAGAAAGTTCGACAACCTCCATGTGGTTCTCGCTGGATGCGAATCCGCAGAAAAGCGGATTCGTAACTAATGTCAAACATATCTTTTAAAATTTGAATATACTCATTAAAAATTATGCATATTTTTATTACTACATTTTTGTTCCATCTTATCTCTGTAATTGTTGCTGCCTATTAATTTGTTTGTTAAATGAAAATTAAATGCATTATAAATTTATAAGCAACTTAATGTGTTTTTATAAAATACATATATAAACATATAATGTGTATTATATTTATTGTAATTAAACTATTCAATTTGAAACTATTCAATTGTTTATAATAGGACGGTAATGCCGAGAGAATAATCACATTTTATTATAAGTCATAACTAACTACAACTGTAACAGTAACAACGCACACCGAAACGCGACGAGCGAGAGTGCGTTGTGTGCAAAACAAGTACGACAACTTTTAGATCAAAAAAAAAAAGAGTAATAATACATAATTCGTTATCTTAATGGTCGGCTAGAATCGGTGTGTCGATGCATGCCGACCACGGCGACAACGCGGACAACGTAGACAACTAATAATAATAATAATAATAATCATAATCACCACAGTATGTAAAAAAATATCATGTACATAATTGTAATTTGACCATTGTATTTTTATACCATTACATGTTGTGGCCAATTGGTTTTTATTTTAAACATATGTAATGTAAATTAAATACAGTATAATGTCTAAATGCCAATTTAATATTGTTCATATAAAATACATAGTATCTTTACATTGTGCTACTATTTCAATATTGTGTTATTACTAATACTACAGTCCGGCTCACGAAAAGTGACGTTCAAGGTCGATGGGTGGTGTCCAAATGTTGTTGAAACCAGGGGTTCTCCGTTTTGTACTATGTACCTACCGCTGGCCGTCTCATGATCCATGATTCGTTTTGGCGGAACCATATTCAATAGACATTCCTTTTATGTTAGCAGCTGCTACTCTACCTTTTTAAAAAGCAGACCCTACATTGTGTTTAACATTACAATTGTCATTCTTCGTGAGATCGACATAGTGAACGCACGTGTTTAGTTAACAGTAATACAATATTCGGTCTGCTTTTGATGTTATAACCATACATAGTTTGTTCAATTAATACTAAT